CTCCCGCAAAAACACTTGTTAGAACTAATAAATGAATTCAGTCAAGTTGAAGGATGCACAGACAACACACAAAAATGAGTTGCATTTCTATGTACCAATAATGAACAATATAAAAAATTACAAAAACAAATCTAAGCATAAAGTACTTAGGAATTAACCAAGGAGGTGAAAGACATACAGTGAATACTACAAAAAGCTACTGAAAGACAACATAAATAAATGAAAAACACAAGCCATGTTCATGGATTGGAAGACAACATTATTAAAATGTCAATACTACCCAAAGTGATCTGCAGATTCAATGCAAAAGACAGAAATAGAAAACTCCATCCTAGAATTCTTACAGAATCTCAAGGAACCCAGAATAGTCAAAACAATCTTAAAAAAGAACAAAACTGGAGAACTCATACTTCCTGATTTCAAAACTTAATACAAAGCTACAATAATAGTGTGTAAAAAACCAACTTATAGACCAGCATAAAAACAGACTTAAGAGACCAATGCAATAGAGAGCCAGAAATAAACCCTTGTATATATTGTCAAATGATTTTTGACAAGCGTGGCAAGACCATTCAATGGGAAAATGATGATCTTTTCAACAAATGGTGCCAGGAAAACCAAATATTTATATGCAAAAGCATGAAGCTGAACCCTTACCAAATACCACATGTAAAAATTAACTCTAAGTAAATCAAGGACCTAAATATAAGACCTAAAACAGTAAAACTCTTAGAAGAAACCATAGGACAAAAGCTTCATAACACTGGATTGGGCAATGATTTCTTGTATATGACCCTAAAGGCATAGGCAACAAAAGAAAAAAAAAAAGCAAAAAACCGGACTTTGTAAAAATTAAAAAATTTGGATACAAAATACAGTTATCAATGGAGTAAAAAGGCAACCCATAGAACAGGAGGAAATATTTGCAAATCATGTATCTCATAAGGAATTAATATTCAGAATATGTAGAGAATCTCTAAAACTCAACAACAAAAAAATGAATAACCCAATTAAATAACAGGCAAAGGAATTGAACAGATATTTCTTCAAAGAAGACATACAGACAGCTGCTAATAAGTACATGAAAAGATGCTCAACATCAGTGATTAGGGAAATGCAAAACTGCAGTGAGATACCACCTCACATGTACTAGGTTGGCTACTAACAAAAAAAAGAAAAGAAATGGGGAACGAAATAGCCACCCAAGACCAAGAGCCCAGAGAGTCCCATACAAGACAAACCCAAGGAAAAACAACAAGACACATGTAAATCAGACTAACAAAAATTAAACACAAAGAGCAAATATTAAAAGCATAAAGGGAAAAGCAACAAATAATATACCAGGGGATCCCCATGAGGCCAACAGCTGATCTTTAAACAGAAACTATTGGAAAAGAATCCACCTGCAATGCAGGAGATCCTGGTTCAATTCATGGGCCAGGAAGATCCCCTGGAAAGGATAGGCTACCCACTCCAGTATTCCTGGCCTTCCCTTGTGGCTCAGCTGGTAAAAAATCTGCATGCAAGGCGGGAGACCTGGGTTCAATCTCTGGATTGGGAAGATCCCCTAGAGAAGGGAATGGCTACCCACTCCAGTATTCTGGCCTGGAGANCAAAAAGGCAAGAAAGATCCAGAAAAACATTTACTTCTGCTTTATTGACTATGCCAAAGCCTTTGACTGTGTGGATCACAACATACTGTGGAAATATGGGAATACCAGACCACCTGACCTGCCTCCTGAGAAATCTTACACAGGTCAAGAAGCAACAGTTAAAACCGGACATCGAACAACGGACTGGTTCCAAGTCAGGAAAGGAGTACGTCAAAGCTATTTATTGTCCACCCTGCTTATTTAACTTATACGCAGAGTATATCATGCGAAATGCCAAGCTGGATGAAGCACCAGCTGGAATCAAGATTGCCGGGAGAAATAACAATAACCTCAGATATGCAGATGGCACCACCCTTATGACAGAAAGCGAAGAAGAACTAAAGAGCCTCTTGAAAGTGAAAGAGCAGAGTGAAAATGTTGGTTTGAAACTCAACATTCAAAAAACGAAGATCATGGCATCTGGTTCCATCACTTCATGGCAAATAGATGGAGAAACAATGGAAACAGTGAGAGACTATTTTGGGGGGCTCCAAAATCACTGCAGATGGTGACTGCAGCCCTGAAATTAAAAGACGCTTGCTCCCTGGAAGAAAAGCTATGACCAAATTAGACACCATATTAAAAAGCAGAGACATTACTTTGCCGACAAAGGTCCGTCTAGTCAAAGCTATGATTTTTCCAGTAGTCATGTATGGATGTTAGAGTTGGGACTATAAAGAAAGTTGAATGTTGAAGAATTGATGCTTTTGAACTGTGGTATTGGAGAAGACTCTGGTGAGTCCCGTGGACTGCAAGGAGATCAAACCAGTCAATCCTAAAGGAAATCAATCCTGAATATTCATTGGAAGGACTGATGCTGAAGCTGAAACTCCAATACTTTGGCAACCTGACACAAAGAGCTGACTCATTGAAAAAGACCCTGATGTTGGGAAAGATTGAAGGTGGGAGGAGAAGGGGACAACAAAGGATGAGATGGTTGGATAGCATCACCCACTCAATAGACATGAGTTTGAGCAAGCTCCAGGAGTTGGTGATGAACAGGGAAGCTTCGCGTGCTGCAATCCATAGCGTTGCAAAGAGTCGGACATGACTGAGCGACTGAACTGCATGTGGAAGCAACCCATATGTCCATAGACAGGTGAATGGACAAGGAAACTGGTACATATACACAATGGAATATTCCTTAGCTATAAAAAGGAATGCATTTGAGTCAGTTCTAATGAGATAAATAAACAGAGCGTATTATACAGAGTGAAGTAAATAAGAAAGAGAAAGACAAATATTGTACATTAACACATACATATGGAATCTAGAAAGTCAGTACCAATGATCCTATGTGCAGGGCATCTGAGGAGACACAGACATAAAGAACAGACTTTTGGACACAGTGGGGGAAGGAGAGGGTGGGATGATTTGAGAGAATAGCATTGAAACATATACACTGCCATATGTAAAACAGACAGTCAGTGGGAGTTTGATACTTGATGCAGGGGACCCAAAGCCAGTGCATGGGGTGGAAGGGAGGAGTGAGGGAGTATCAAGAGGGAGGGGACACGTGTGCCTATGGCCAGTTCATGCTGATGTACGGCAAAATCCATCACGGCATTGCAAAGTAATTGTGCTTAAGTCGCTCAGTCATGTTCGACCCTTTGAGACCCATGGACTGTAGCCCATCAGACCCCTCTGTTCATGGGGATTCTCCAGGCAAGAATATTGGAGTGGGTTGCCATTTCCTTCTTCAATTGTAAAGTAATTATCCTCCAATTAAACATAAATAAATAAATACATAATTATGTGGCAATAAGGTACAATATTAATATGCATGCTAGGTGGCAGGTTCATGAATGTTATTCTCTATACTTCTCTGTATATATGAAATTTGTGTAAACAAATAAATTAACTTAAAAAAAGAAAATAACCAGTGTAGGCAACAGTCTAGAGAAACTGGAACCCTTGTGCACTGTTGGTGGGAATGTAATGCTTTATCTACTATGGAAAAGAGTATGGTGTCTTCTCAAAAATTAATACCATCTGATCCAGCAATTCCACTCCTGGGTATATACTCAAGAATGAAAGGCAGTGTCTTGAAGAGCTATTTGCATACCCTTGTTCACAGCAGCATTATTCACAATAGCTGACATGTGGAAGGAGCCCAAGTGTCCACTGATGGATGAATGCATAACAAAATATGGATATATACAATGGAATATTATTCAGTCTTAAAAATGAAGGAAGTTTCAACATATACAACAACATGGATGACCCTTGAAGGACATCATCTTAAGTGAAATAAGCCAGTCACAAAAAGGCAAACACTGTATGATTCTACTTACATGATGTACTCAGAGTAGTCAAAATCAGAGACAAAAAGTAGAATGACAGTTGCTTGGGGCTGGGAAAGTGGGGGTTGGAGAGTTATTGTTTAATGAGTACAGAGCTTCAGTTTCACGAGATGAAAAGAGCTAAGCAGGTGGATGGTAATAATGGTTGCATAAAAATGCAAATGCATCTAATGCCATAAACTGCACATTTAAAATTGGTTTACATGGTAAATTTTGTTTTTATGTTCTTTTTACAATAAAAAAAGTAAACGGATTATCATGAAATCAGCTGTAACTTAAAAAAAGAGGGTCTGGGGGCTTCCCTGGTGGTCCAGTGGTTGACATTCCACCTTGCAATGCATGGACACCAGTTTAATCCCTGGCCCAGGAGGATCCCACATGCCATGAGGCAACTAGTGTGTCAAATACTGAGCCCACACTCTAGAGCCCGAAAGCCGCAACTACTCATACCATTCTCCATAACTGCTCAAGCCTGAGTGCTCTAGAGCCTGTGCTCTGCAACAAGAGAAGCCACTGCAATGAGAAGCTAGCATACCGCAACTAGAGCAGCTCCCACTCTCTGCAACTACAGAAATCCCACATGAAGCAACAAACACCCAGAACAGCCAAAAATAAAGTATTTTAAAAAGTGTTTGTGAAAAAGAAGTCAGAAAGCAGGATGTTTCATACTATAGAATACTAAAAATCAGCACACACTCAACATGCCTTGGTTTTAAATTATTAAACATACTAACTTTATCAATTCCCTTATAACTTTACATACAAACTTTGGTATTCTAAAGAAAGACATTTAGAAAAATAGTTTGTCTTTCATGCTAAAATTGCTTAAGTTAGTCCCTAAAACACAGGCTTTCACAGTAACAAGCTAGCAGCTTATCTACAACTATTAAGAACAAGAGAAAACGTTGTTTTGACCTCAAAGGCTATGAAACAAACTAGTTAAAATTTTTTAAATAACTGAAGTCTCCTTATATTAATAGTGTCCTAATGGACTGAACAGAGAAGCCAGGAGATGGATTTTTTCATAGGCTACAAGAATTCTTACCTGGAAGATCACCCTTTGAGATGGTATCCGTATCCAAATTGTAGGTGTCCTGGAGACGCAACAGAGCTTTGGCTGCACCAACCTGATCTTCATCATTAGGGAAGTACTGTCTCTGAATGGTTAGGTTAGAGATAAAACCTTAAAATAGGGGAGCAAAAAAAGATTTAGACACAAGTTTGAAATGTGCCATGTAGGGAATACAGTTGATAACTATGTAATATATTTGTACGGTAATGACATTTCATACCTAGACTTCTTTCTCATGGTGATCATTTTGAAATACACAGAAATATAGGATCAATATGTTGTATAACAGGAACTAACACAGTGTTGTAGGTCAGTTATATTTCAAAATAAAACTCATACAAAAAGAGATCAGGATTGTGGTTATCAGAGGCAGGTGGTAGGAGTATAGGGGATTTGGAGGAAGGCAGGCAAAAGGCACAAAGTTTCAGGTATAAGATAAATAAGTACAGAGGATGTAATGTACAACATGATAAATATAATTAACACTGCTACATAAAAAAAGTACATCCTTAGAGTTCTCATTACAAGGAAAAACATTTTTTTCTATTTTTTAAATTTCGTAACTACATGGGATGATGAATGTTCACTAATTGTGATAATCATTCCATAATGTGTGTAAGTCAAATCATTGTACTGTACACTTTAAACTTCTATAGTACCATATGTCAATTATATCTCAACAAAATAGGAAGAAAAAAAACTCTAGACCCTCACAGACTTTTAATTTCCAACATAAGTCTTATAAAGATTTTTTTAATCTATATTATTATAATTTTCCACTATATCATGTGTAACAAGAAAAAATTAAATACACTGAATGAGACTTCATATACCTCTAACTTGTTAAATCTTCCCAGACCATTTTTAATGTTGCTTATGTAATCTGGCAACAGGGCTTCCCTGGTGGCTCAGAGGGTAAAGCGTCTGCCTGCAATGCAGGAGACCTGGGTTCGATCCCTGGGTCAGGAAGATCCCTGAAGGAAATGGCAACCCACTCCAATACTCTTTCCTGGAAAATCCCATGGACAGAGGAGCCTGGTAGACTACAGTCCATGGGATCGCAGAGTCAGACACAACTGAGCGACTTCACTTTATGTAATCTGAGGTCACTGCATAAATTATATCTATATGAATAGGTTTTAGTTACACAGTATAGCCTCTGCTAAGCTTGAAGCTTGACAAGCAAACAGATGTAAAGACTTGAAAACCATATTCACTGGCAACAAATTAGATTTTCAGATAAAATGTACACTCTTAAAGTTCTATTTTCTTCTTCCATGTGCCACATATCACATAAATGTGTAAATACACAGTTTGGTGGAATTCTTTAAGCTCATTTATTAAATATAGTGTTCATCAATCAAGGTTTGCTCTACATAAATCCTAATATTAATTTTAAAATGTTTTACATAAAATATAGCAAAAATCAAATTCAGAAACTAATTACTGATAACTATGTAACTCCTAGGGCTCCCCTGATGGCTCAGCAGGTTAAGAATTTGCCTTCAAAGGAGACACAGGAGATTTGATCCCTGGATCAGCAAGATCCCCTGGAGGAGGAAAATGGCAACTCCTCCAGTATTCTTGCCTAAAAAACATTCCATGGAACTACATGATGATCTTTTACTTTTATTTAGTTTGTTTCACTTTTTCTATTTTATATTCAGTGCTCCCATTTCACTTAGATTATGTTTTCCAATTTCCCGTCTCTTTTTTTTTCATATTCTCAAGGCTTTATCAAGTACAGTAGTAAAGTTTTTGTATACATATATATGTATAATATATATATTTTAGAAAACTTATGAAATTTTGGCTAATTAAAAAATGTATGACATTTTGATTACACTTTTTTTACTTACTATGAATAAAACGCTAAATTTCTAATTAAAAAGATACAGATATACAACAAACAACAAAGGTTTACTGTATAACACAAGGAACTATAGTCAATATCTTGTAAAAACCTATGATGGAAAATAATTTCAAAAATAATATATGCATACATATAAATGAATCACCTTGCTGTGTACCTGAAACACTGTAAATCAACCATAATTCAATAAAATATATATATTAAGGAAAAAAATCCCATGAACAGAGGAACCTGGCAGGCTACAGTCCAAAGGGTTGTAAAGAGTCAGACACAACTGGGCAGCTAAGCACAAGGACATACACATAACTCCTAAGGAAAATGGGTGCTAAATACTCCCTTAATAAACCAATACGACAGAAACAAAAAGTGATTTAAAATGTGAATAATATATGTGTCATCATCTGCAGATCAAAGTTAGGTATGAGACTTCCCTCCATTCTCATTTACTTATAATCAACTATGCACATACTCTGACCATCAAAAGGCCAGGTATTTTTATGTTAATTGAAATGTATAAATAAACAACTAGCTGAAGAGGTCTAAGTTCATATTAAGCATATTCTTTAGTTTTAAGTCACAAAATCAACACAATTTTTACAAGCAAGTTTTACAGAGAACTGTAATGTTTTTTATGCCTCAAAAAAGATCTCCTAGAAGTTGCTTAAAATCCTCTCCAATAAGAGAAAATGTATATCTACTATGGCATTGTGGGGTACTACCATGGATTAAAATACCAAAGTCTTAAGGCTTATCTTATTTTAAAAACACTTAGGTCATACAGGTCGTTACTTGAGGTTTTTTTTAAATAATAAATAAACATGTATATACGTATACAAACGCACATATATATGAATATATATGACCTTAAAAATATTCTCATGGTGTTATATGAGAGCAAATGACCACAGGTATTTCCTTCTCATGTCAAAATATTTTTAAGTGCTTGCCTTAATTTTTCTTAGCAAGGTTTTCCTGTCTATGCATAATAGTTTGGTTTACTGCTCACAAACACTTGAAAGCACCCTTGGAGTATTTCACCTACACAGCTGACTCAGTTCTTTTTTTTTTTTTTCTTTTTTTTGCCATCTTCAATCATTCAACAAATAAATACTATGTACTAAGCATAATAATACCTTTACTTCCTTAAACTTCAAACTTAGTTTTCTGTATATGTTACTTAAATATCTAAAACATCTCATTACTCCAACTACAATTTTATTGTTTCATTGAGAAGGACATTCATTACTACTGTTTGCAGTCTCAGTTTTAAATTTATAGTTTATGTTAAACATAAACCTAAGCTTCAAAGGACTAGGTAAAACACAGCTAATGTTTTCCCTTATCAGTACCACTCCCAATACATTAATAATTGATTAGAAGAACTAGCCATAAATTTTTAAAATCTGAAGGTAATCCTAAACGCAAATGATTACCATCAGAAATGAAGCTATATGCCAATAGATTAACTTTAATATATTTCAAAGTAGAAAGGACCAGTGTTAAGCAAATGAATAGTAGAAATTACTTTTTTAAGAATAAAATTTTATTTCTCTTTGTTTTCAGTTTTTACTCATTTTTTTTTTAAATCAAGAATTCAGGATCTAGGCTAAATTAACCCTAGTCAAATCAAACACATTTCAGCAATAATTGAGTTATAAGACTGATCACCTGATGTTCTGGGAACTGAATTTATCACTTATTTTGGCATTTCTACAGGTTGTACCAAAAATGCTTTTTTTTTTTGGCTCGTTAGTTTTACCATCTGACTTACCATCTGACATATCCTTAAGGACCAGATTCTCCAACTCACTCCACTCAGTGTTCAGACGTTTCATTAATTTGAATGCATTTACAGGGTGTCCAACAAATCCTTCTGGATCTTTTGTTGCTGTGCTGGTTAACCGATCTAATTTCTCTGCCCATCTAAAATGTAAGACATAAATGGAATATACATAAAGTATATACACACTTAATGAGGAAGAACATAATTTAGTAAAGCACTCAAAACAGACTGGAGGTTTTTGAGTTAAAACTATATCTAAAAACTTTTTTAAACAAAATTATAAAGATTTTTTTTCCATTTATTTTTATTAGTTGGAGGCTAATTACTTTACAATATTGTAGTGGTTTTTGCCACACATTGAAATGAATCAGCCTTGGATTTACATGTGTTCCCCATCCTGATCCCCCCTCCCGCCTCCCTCTCCACCCCATCCCTCTGGGTCTTCCCAGTGCACCAGCCCTGAGCACCCGTCTCGTGCATCCAACCTGGGCTGGTGATCTGTTTCACCCTTGATAGTATACTTGTTTCAATGCTGTTCTCTCGGAACATCCCACCCTCACCTTCTCCCACAGAGTCTAAAATTCTGTTCTGTACATCTGTGTCTCTTTTTCTGTTTTGCATATAGGGTTATTGTTACCATCTTTCTAAATTCCATATATATGTGTTAGTATACTGTAATGGTCTTTATCTTTCTGGCTTACTTCGCTCTGTATAATGGGCTCCAGTTTCATCCATCTCATTAGAACTGATTCAAATGAATTCTTTTTAATGGCTGAGTAATATTCCATGGTGTATATGTACCACAGCTTCCTCATCCATTCGTCTGCTGATGGGCATCTAGGTTGCTTCCATGTCCTGGCTATTATAAACAGTGCTGCGATGAACATTGGGGTGCACGTGTCTCTTTCAGATCTGGTTTCCTTGGTGTGTATGCCCAGAAGTGGGATTGCTGGGTCATATGGCAGTTCTATTTCCAGCTTTTTAAGAAATCTCCACACTGTTTTCCATAGTGGCTGTACTAATTTGCATTCCCACCAACAGTGTAAGAGGGTTCCCTTTTCTCCACACCCTCTCCAGCATTTATTGCTTGTAGACTTTTGGATAGCAGCCATCCTGACTGGCGTGTAATGGTACCTCATTGTGGTTTTGATTTGCATTTCTCTGATAATGAGTGATGTTGAGCATCTTTTCATGTGTTTGTTAGCCATCTGTATGTCTTCCTTGGAGAAATGTCTGTTGAGTTCTTTGGCCCATTTTTTGATTGGGTCATTTATTTTTCTGGAGTTGAGCTGGAGGAGTTGCTTGTATATTTTTGAGATTAATCCTTTGTCTGTTGCTTCATTTGCTATTATTTTCTCCCAATCTGAGGGCTGTCTTTTCACCTTGCTTATAGTTTCCTTTGTTGTGCAAAAGCTTTTAAGTTTCATTAGGTCCCATTTGTTTATTTTTGCTTTTATTTCCAATATTCTGGGAGATGGGTCATAGAGGACCTTGCTGTGATTTATGTCGGAGAGCGTTTTGCCTATTTTTAAAAAGCAAGATTCTTTACAGATAAAATCTAATTTGGCAAAATTAAAACGTAAGACTTTTTTAGTTTGTTGTTTCTCCCAAATGGTTATAGTAAATGTAACATATCTTAGTAAAAGTTGATTGGACCCCTCTGTAAGAATCTAAAAATTTATTTCCCTACAAGTTCAAGCAACTGATTATTACAAAGTACAAATCAGCCCAATCCAAATTCACTTACATATTCATTTAAATCACACTTATAGAAAAATTTTGTACTCACTACTTAGAAACTATATTTTAAAACAGAAAAACTGGGGCTTTCCTGATAGTCCAGTGGTTGAGAATCTGCCTGCCAATGCAGGGGACACAGGTTCGATCCCTACACCAGGAAGATCCCACATGCCGAATGGCAACTAAGCCCACGCACAACTACTGAAGCCCATGCACCTAGAGCCCAGGTACACAACAAGAGAAGCCCGTGCACTGCAACTAGAGACAGCCTGAGTGAAGCAATGAAGACCCGGCACAGCCAAAAATAAATAAATAAATCTTAAAAAAAAAAACCTGACTACTTGGCTACTCATTAAACAAAGGCTAGGAACTCTCAGGTCAGGATTAACTATGAACCTGGGTCAATTAAAGATAAATTAGCATTTGAAGAAAAACCATATCAATTAAATAATACTACACTTACCACTGTAATCTCTAGAATGCAACCATAAAACTAAAGGATAAATAGCAGTGGAAAATTGCTTGATTAGGGAGGATAGAGATATTAGCAACTATTAAAAAAAAAAAACTGTCGGTCAATTACCTGTATCCATTTACACTCTTATCTCAATCCATATTCTTCCACGTGAAGTCTTTAATTGGGCCTAACTTTTGTTTTCTGTGGTCCTATTTTAGCCCTTATCTGGCCTTCTAAGACTGACAGAGGGCTTTCATTTTCACTTAAAGAATGTTTTAACCAGGAAGAAAACATCCAGGTGAAGTCAGTCATAATAAGTAAAACACTTGACTTACTTTTTTATTTGTTCTAATTTGTCCTCTTCTGCCTTTATATAGTCTTTCAGGGAAGTCACCAGATCTTTTTCAGTATGAATCAAATCAGTCATCTGACCTAGAAGGAGGAAAAGAGAAGAAAGTTATCAAATACCCATACTGTCAAAACAAGTTTTCTAGAATAATTTAAGAATGATTGAGAATGCTTCATTTAATGAACGGACTTAACTGGCATGAACCAGATATGTTGGAGAGAGCACCATTTTTTTTTCTTTTTAAAACCAAATAAATAAAAATTAAGCCCCAAACTTTTCTAAGCATGTGGTCCAATTCTAATTTTCAAGTTACTTAATTCTGCAAGTTTGGACCACATCGACAAATTGTCTTTTCATCGAAGAATTTATTTTTTAATTTCAAAACATTACTTTCCAAAGATCAACGTTTCTTCTTCCCTACCTCCCCCCTCATCTTTTTTGGGTTTTGAGAGTACTGAGAATTAAATTTTTATTCAATTTGACAAAGACCACACTAACAAAAAGTATACTTCACAACTGAAATTCAAATATCCATATTTAGTTATTCCTAATGGGATGAGAGAAAAAAGTTGCACAATTGTGTCTGTTTGCAACCACATGGACTGTAGCCCACCAGGTTTCTCTGTCCATGGGATTCTCCAAGCAAGAACACTGGAGTGGGTAGCCATTCCCTTCTCCAGGGGATCTTCCTGACTCAGGGATCGACCCAGGTCTGCATTTCAGGCAGATCCTTTACTGTCTGAGCCACTGCTGCCGCCAAGTCACTTCAGTTGTGTCCGACTCTGTGCGGCCCCACAGACGGCAGCCCACCAGGCTCCTCCCACTAGGGAAGCCCCAACAGGATGAGAAAACTCATCATTTTACATCCCCAAATCAAGTGTCATAAATATACTTGCTTGTGTTTTATTTAGCTCCACAATCACATAAGGGTAAAACTCGTCAACAGGATGTAGGAAAACACCTCTTTTAAAACATATAGAGTACGCACATAGGAAAATACAAAAGACTAAGTACATACATTAAGTGATTTGCCAGGTAGACTCTACCAGAGAATTTTCTTTTGTATGCTTTACTAAGTTTTGGCAATCAGAAAAAATTAAAAGAAAGACTTTTAGAGGGGTAGGAACTGAAGTAATGTATCAGTCCCTGTGAATACAATGTATTTGTTTTTATCCATTTAAAAGCATGAGAAAAAGGAAAATTTTAAATACAAAAACAATAACAAAATAATTAAGACTTACCAATAGAAGTAAAAAAGCCTGGATGGGCCAAAGACTGGGAAAGTAGAATCCCTACAACTAAAATATACCAGATCATCTTCAAAGGTTTAGTTTTACAGGCTCACACACCTACAAGAGAAATATGGCCATTATTTTTAAAAAGGAAGGATAGGAAAATTTCCTAACCTATTTTTCCTATGAATAAAATGTAAGTCAAACTTTAAGACTGCCCATAGAACATTGTTAATTCCGGTAAACTGATTTAATAACTTAGTAAGAGCTACTATCTTATTTTTCATAGAAGAGTACTCACTTGATAGTTCATGTTAAAAGAAAAATATACATGTTTGCTATCACCATGATAATACATGCTTAAAAATGCTATTTGTTTTTTCTTTAGGTCCTCCTACAGTTAGATTAAAGGGATAGTAGTACACTTTTTCATTAAGTTTACTTTGTGATCTAGATCTAAGCCATGAATTTCCCATTAAAATATACCACTTTATTATAGCAACTTAATTTAAATACTACCCAAATACATTCTAGAATGTTAGAATATATTTAAAGGGACAAAATGTTTCAGAGCTTTCTGATTAATCCCCTTAATTCCTAACTTGGTCCATCTTTTCCCTACAATGGCTTTACATTTTAAAGTAAGTTCAATTAAAAGCTGTAGATTTGGAGGTGATGAATATGTTCCAAGATATACTGTGGGGATTGATGGCTGAAGAACACTGTGAAACTACTCAAAATCAACCAATCAGGAACATTAAATAGGTGAATAGTGTGGTATTTAAGCCAGCAAGCTGTCAATTTATGCTAGTAATCTCTCTCAAAGGACCCAATGTTGAGTTTTTTCTCTTATCTACTGTGTTCCATGTAAAAAATCCTTAGCCCAGTACACAGCTGTAGCATGCAAAAAAGAAAAAAAAAAAAACTGGCAGCAAAGCCCTTCTGTCTGTCTTTCTTTTCTGGAATGGATTCTTCATGGCAGATGCAGATTTTCAACTAACCAGATTTTTTACCCTGCTTTCCCAAAGGCCCTGTTAGCACTCTTCTCTTGCTCCTCCTTTACCACATAAACATGGACTTTTAAGTTCTTCTTTATTACCTTACAGGAAAACAAGTTACCCCCACAATACTATTTACCCCAATAACAGACACCCATTGCTTATTCTCACTTGTCACCCTATTTCTCTTTGTGCAGGCACCCCTGACTCTCCCCAAGAGACTTCACAAAAAAAAAAAACTGGCAGCAAAGCCCTTCTGTCTGTCTTTCTTTTCTGGAATGGATTCTTCATGGCAGATGCAGATTTTCAACTAACCAGATTTTTTACCCTGCTTTCCCAAAGGCCCTGTTAGCACTCTTCTCTTGCTCCTCCTTTACCACATAAACATGGACTGTTAAGTTCTTCTTTATTACCTTACAGGAAAACAAGTTACCCCCGCAATACTATTTACCCCAATAACAGACACCCATTGCTTATTCTCACTTGTCACCCTATTTCTCTTTGTGCAGGCACCCCTGACTCTCCCCAAGAGACTTCACTTCAAGTCCACATTAGAAAACTCCCTATCTCACACACACACACACACACACACCATTTGCCACATTAGAAAACTCCCAATCTCGCTCTCTCTCTCACGTGCGCGCACACACACACACACTTTCTGCCTAACTTGAATCAATAAAAATAGATCAGCACAGAAACTGACATGCTGGAAGTCCTCTTAAGTTTCCCCCTCCAGAACCACACAGTAGTGACAGGCACTGTTCTCTTGGCTGCCTCACAGTAACTCTTTGGGAAGGCTTCTAGAATGCAGCAGCTGCAGACACTTCCTCTCCTGTGCTCTTGCCAACGTGCAAGTTTTTTTCAAAATCCTGGGCTGTCTGAACAGTCTAGAATTTTCTCACTGGTTAAACAGATTTCTGCCATAATTTCTTCATAAATGAATGTTATTTCCGGCAAACACAAATGCTTTTGCTGTACCAAGAGAAGGCTAACCAGAAATGTTGTCTAAACATTAACTCTGATGAGAAAGTTTAGATCTGTCAGATAAGAAGTTATCATTTTTTTCATTGCTAAAATGTATTTTGTCACTAAAGTTTCTCTGTCATCTTTCATCATCCTTAAACCTCACAATGAATCAAGAAACACCTACAGAAATTAACAAAAAAGCTTGAAAATTTCTTTATTCTAGATGAAATAGTCATAATCAACAACAAAAAAAACAACAAAAGTTACTGAACCTCTGAAAAGAGAATATTTAAACTTAAAAATAAGACAATCTATCAAAAGCCAGATGGAATTAAAATACACAAAAAATTTAGGTTTATATATTTTTTAATAAAAACTAAACTATAAACTAGGAGACTAAAGAAAACAGAGCTCATTTAAGGAACTCCTACAAATCAATAAAAAACCCAAGACATCAGCAGATAGGTGGGCTGAAAGTGAAAGTCACTCAGTCACATCCAACTCTTTGTGACCCCATAGACTGTAGCCCACTTCTGTCCATGGAATTCTCCAGGCCAGAATACTGGAGTGGGTTCCCTTACCGAGAGGATTTTCCCAGCCCAGGGATTGAACTCAGGTCTCCTGCACTGCAGGCAGACTGTTTACCATCTGAGCCACCAGGGAAGCCCCATAAGTGGGTTAAGAAACCAGAAAGCCACAAAAGAGGAACTATAGTTAACTAAACCCACCAAAACAAAAACTCACTCACCAGTAATCAAGGACACAAGAAGTTGAAATAAGATAGCCAGTTTTTGCCTGTCAAATGAACAATTAAACAAACTTAATTAAATTTAAAATACCTAATGATAGTGTTATATGTCAAGAAACTTAAAATGAACATATTCCTTACTTGTAAATTCAAATGAAAAACAAGATTTAAAAATTAACATCAATCCTAGAACATTCATTGCTGGTAGGATTGCAAAATGGTACAGTCAATTTGGAACACAGTTTGGCAGTTTCTTAAAAAATTTAATACACTCTTACCATATGATCCAGCAATCATGTTTAGTATTTACTCAAAGGAGTTGAAAATTTATGTCCACAAAAGCCTGCATATGGATATTTTTATAGCAACTTTATTTATAATGGGCAAAACTTGGAAGCAACCAAGATGTCCTTTAGTAGGTGAACAGATAAACTGTGATACATCTAGGCAACAGAATATTATTCAATGCTAAAAAATAAATGAGCTATCAAGCCATTAAAAAAACATGGAGGAATTAAAAATATTACTAAGTGAAAGAAGTCAATCTGAAAAGGCTATATACTGTATAATTCCAACTATATGATATTCTGGAAGAGGTAAAACTATGAAGAGAATAAAAAGATTAGTAGTTGGTAGAAGACGACGGGGAATAAACAAGCGGAGCACAGAGGATTTTTAGGGCAGTGAAAATACTGTGTAATATCATAATGATGAATACATATCATTATACATTTGTTCAGTTTCACAGAATTTGACATTTGAATCTCACTAAGAGTGAAGGGGTAATGTTAGACTATGGCCTTTGGGCAATTATGATGTGTCAATGTAGATTCATTAATTTTAAAAAATATGCCATTCTGGTGGGGGGCAACACATATGGGGAGCAGGGAGTACATGGGACATTTCCATACCATCCCCTTAATTTTGTTATGAAGCAAAAACTGCTCTAAAAATTAAATCTTAAAAAAAATAAACACCATACAACCCTGGTGGAATCTATACTGAAGAAGATTAAGTTTCTGCTATACTCTGACAGAAAATTATAAATACTAATCAAAACAAAGAAAAAACTTAACATTATAATATGATCATAACTTTACAAGAAAATATGCAGAGGAAATTCATCAAAATGTAGTTGTCTCTGAAGAGCAGAACATTAGGTGATTTTTTTTTCCCCCTATTTCTCAGTATTTTCCAGATGTCAAAGGTATATTTTGGGGGCATCCCTGGTGGTTCAGTGGTAAAGAACCCACCTACCAATACAGGAGACACAAGTTTGATCCCTGGGTCAGGAAGACCCCTAGAGAAGGAAATGGCAACCCACTCCAGTATTCTTGCCTGGGACATCCCACAGACAGAGGAGCCGGGTGGGCCACTGTCCATGAGCTCGCAACGGAGCTGGACATGACTTAGCAACTAAACAACAACACAGGGTATATTTACTTTTATACTTAAGGCTTATTTTTTCCTCATGTAATAGATTCTTATTAATTTTTTATTGAGGTATAGTTGTTTTACAATATGCAAGTCTCTGCTTATAGCAAAGTGACTCAGGTATACACATACATTCTTCTTTTTTAAATATTCTTTTCCATTATGGTTTATCACAGGATATTGAATATAGTTCCCTGTATATACAGTATCCTGCTACAGAGTAGGACCATGTTGTTTATCCATCCTATATATAATGGTTTATATCTGCTAATCCCAAACTCCCCGTCTTTCTCTCCCCCTACATCCTTTCCACCTCGGCACCCACAAGTCTGTTCTGTCTGAGTCTTTTTCTGTTTTGTAGATAGGCTTACTCGGGTCATATTTTAGATTCCACATATAAGTGATATCATAGGATATTTGTCTTTCTCTTTCTGAGTTACTTCACAGTATGATGATCTCTAGTTGCATCCATGTTGCTGAAAATGGCCTTCCATTCTTTTTCATGACTGAATAGTATGCTATTTTATATAGGTACCACATCATTGTTATCCATTCATTTGTCAATGAACATTTAGGATGTTTCCATGTTTTGGCTATTGTGAATGATGCTGCTATGAACACAGGGATGCATGTATCTTTTTGAACTGTAGTTTTGTCTGGGTATATGCCCAGGAGTGAGTTTGCTGGATCATATGGCAATTCTATTTTTAGTTTTCTGAGGAACTGCCACACTGTATTTCACAGTGGCAGGACCAACCAACATTCCCACCACCAGTGTTTTCTAGACACCCTCTGGCAGCATTTTTCTATTTGTAGACTTTTTAATGATGGCCATTCTGACCAGTGTGAGATGGTACCTCACTGTTGTTTTCATTTGCACTTCTCTAATTATATTTGCTTTTATAATGACAAAAATTAACTCTATACAAAATAAGACACCTAAAACATCAACTTCCATATTATGGCACCATAGCCTTTAATGAAGTGGTTAACCACACTCTAATACAATAAAGTAGCTAAGATGTTTGAGCATGTTCCATTTTCTAACTCTATAATCCTCTAAATTTCTTGCTCTGCTTCAAAGATTGTTAAGCTTATTTGAAAGCAACCCAAAAGTGTGCCACTCCTGACAACGTAATGGCACACTTTTCTATGCTCCTTTCTCCCAGAAATAGACTTATGACCCAGGCTAAGCCAGTCACAGACCCTCATTCCAATGAGTTTAACTGTTGAAGAGTGGGCTTGTGAAATGGTAAGCAGCAGCTCTTTCTGGAATTGCTACTCTCAGAGGATGTGAATTTGGAGCTGCCTATGACCATCTGTGCCACCTGACAAGCATACACAGGAACCTAATCTATAAAAATGACAAAGTTATGCAGAAACAAACAGTTTTACAAGCTCCATTCTGATTCTTATAGTTTCTGCTCTGAACCTATGAACTTCCCTAATAATCTTCCAACTCAGCTGAGGGAGTCTGTAAATTCCCTTTTTCTTAAACTAGTTTAAGTTGGATTTCTGTCACTTGCAATAGAAAATTCAGACCCTCTCACAGCATTACTCCAAATTACCATGCCAACCTAAGCTAGTTAATATAAATGAAGATAGCCTACATAGCAGTGGTTCTAAACTTTGGCTGTATCAGATCACCCAAAGGTCGAAGTACCTAGATTATATATGCGAGTTCTCAGGTGATGCTGCTGCTGCTCAGGGGATCACACTTTGAGAACCACAGGATGTGACTACCTCGTGAAATCATACAAAAGGTGCTCTCTGCCTTTAAAATATATTTTACTTCAATTTATTTTTTAGAACATGTCACGGAATTTCTAATTACTCTAGGGAATGGTTTCTCTAATCTGTCTCAATACTACGCCTCATGCACATTCTTTCAGAAACCTTAAGTGGCATGTTTATAGGCAAGCATATCCTTATCAATCACAGGTTTTTAAAACATAATGGTTTCTTTACTTGCGATGTCTCACTTCCATTTATTACCACCTTTGTTCAGTTCAGTTCAGTATTTGTTGGCAAAGTAATGTCTCTGCTTTTTAATATGCTATCTAGGTTGGTCATAACTTTCCTTCCAAGGAGTAAGCGTCTTTTAATTTAGCAACGTGCAAAGCAATCATTATGTACAACTAAAAGTAAAGCATCCCAAAAGACATTCAGTTAAAAAAAAAAAAAAGACATTCAGTTCAGTTTAGACATTAGGATTTTATCAAAAACAGTAAGATATAAATGCCTTCTGTTCTAAATCCTCAACAAGCTTGAAACAGAATTTAAATGGGTTAAAGAGGATGCAATCTTCTTCAAAAGAAGGTAAATCTCAGATCCCAGAGAAGACACAATGAGAGAAAGACTGAAAAGAAGAAAAGGGAGGAAGGAAGAAAGGAAAGAAAGACAAAGAAGAGGCAGATACAAAGACAAATTTATACAGGAATAAAATTTATTACTGAAACAGTATGGATAAGTTACTCATAACATTTTGATTCTTGGTTGGATGGCAGTTTCATAAGTGTTTATTAATCTATAAATAATCTATATATATATAAAACATAATTTTTGAAATGCATGAATATTTTTAAATTTAAAAAATTTTTTAATTTTAAATATTTTTGAAACTATAAAGAAACAACAACCTGGGAAACACATTCTCTGGTAGATCTGGACAAAAATAAAATGCAAAGTGTACTATTTATCTAAAACTTTCCTACATTCCTTCTTCTAGGAAAGTCCAGCCCAACATACTCACAGATCAACCAAACCTGGGAATAGATTTTAAAACAGTTCTACTACATTGTAAATATGACTCTGAGTTATCAGGATTCACTGAATTGTATATTTGTTATTCAATGGATTACTGTAACAGGGCATCTGGCAAATAATTCTATTAGCCTTTTGGTCTAACATTTTTCTTCCAAAAAAAAAAAAAAATGCAACATTAACAAGTCTGTCTTTCCCAAACAAATCACTCAAAAATTAGGCAGACTAAAGAATGCTTGATATTCTAATCTTTCTCTGACATGAAAAACTTTTCACAGGGCTCCTTCTAACAGTCTCTCCACATCTTCCACAACTTGTTCCAAACCTTCCTTTAGAGGGTTCCAACTTTAAGATTATTTTTCCTCATATAAATTCCGTACTCCACTGTTGGTTTTCCTGACATCTGTGTTAGACTTTAATCTTTCTGACAGTTTTTATGGTCAGCGCAAAAGATCAACACACATTCAAGCTGCTAATTCAGGCCACTGCAACGTGGTATATATATCTAGACAGAATGTCTCTTTCATATAAGCAGGATGGATTTTCCAAGACATCTAAGAGTGATTGCTAATAGAACCAGTTATATTTCTGTTCTTCCCTGTAATCACTCTGCCAATTGCCATTTGCTTTAACTTAACTCTAAGAATCCCAGTCATACATCTGCTCCCAAAGAGAGTGAGCTGAATCTCTGGTACATACATAAAATCTGGGATGAGTGCTTCAATGATATGACCAACTTTTCGATTAAAAACCCAGAAGTCATGCTAGCCTCTTTTCCACAATTTTCTATACTTGAGCAGTGAACCCAGTCTTGGGCATCATTCCAATGGAACAGCAGTTTAGGATATGA